GGGCCTATCTCTGGGCCTGATCAGAGAGGCAGGGCTGATCAGCAGCCCCCGTGGAGGCCCAGAGAAAAACAGAGGCGCGGCTGCTGGCGAAGCCCGGAGAGAAAGAGAAAGGCAACGGCTGATCAACAGCTGTCAGACCCTGCCTCTCCCTCCGGAACTCTCTCCGGGCCTGATCCACAGCCCCCTCGGCAGTCAGTGCTGGGTCGCCACGGCAAATTAGCACTGACTGCAGGACTGACTTCCGGTGTTCGGTCAAGCCTTCGGCTGGTCATTACGGAACCTGGGTTTTTTAAAATTAGTATATCTGATTGTTCCAGCACCATTTGTTGAAAAGACTCTCCTTTATCCTGCACCTTTATCAAAAATCAGATGTTCATGTATATGTGCTTCTATTTCTGGACTCCCTATAGTATTCCAGTGATCAATTTGTCCAACCCTATTCTAATACCAGACTGTTTTGAATACTACAACTTTATAATAAGTCTTGAAATCAGGTAGTGTTGCCCTTTATGATTTGTTACAGAGGTCTAGAGCAGCCCTCCACCTAGGGCTAATTATTCCTAACTACTGAGAGTATCTGAATGTCACAGGAAATAGTACCTTGCCCTCAAGGACAGTGTGGTCCTGCAAGTCTCATGAATGACTAGTCTTACTTTCTACATCAGTAACTGCTCCTCACAACGCAATAGCCATTACACATATCCCTGAAAATCTCTGAGGTAAGCTCTAAGTGGTGGTAAGAACATCTTAGGTTTTCTAGCCCATTTTGTTTCTCAGGACTTAGGTAAGTCACAACCTTTGCCACCTGTTCCCACATCTATAAAACGAGGGTTTGAACTTTATCATCTCAGCCAGTATCTCTTTATGTGTGTATATCACCCTGTTGTTCACAAAGTGTTTTACATACTTCCTCTCATTTCATTTGATCTTCACAACACCAGGAATTATTATACACAAGATAGTCCTGCCCGTTTTACACAAAAGAAAACACTTAGATGATGAGTGAGGATGTGGAGAAACTGGAACCCCATACATCTCTGTGGAAAACAGTTTAGCAGCTCCCCAAAAAGTTAAATACAGAATTACCATATAACCCAGCAATTCAACTACCATGTATATACCCAACAGAACTGAAAATTGGTATTCAAACAGATGAATGTACACGCATGTTCATAGCACACTATTCATAATAGCTCAAATGTGCATCAACAAATGAATGGGTAGACAAACTGATATATATATAAATACAATAGAAAATTATTCAGCCATAAAGGAAATGAAATTCTAGCATATTCTATAACATAAATGAACCTCAAAAATATGTTAAGTAAAAGAAGCCAGGCACAAAAGATCACATATTGTGTGATTTAATTTATATGAAGTGTCCAGAATAGGTAAATCCATAGAGACTGGTGGTCATCAGGGATTGTAGGGAAGGGAGACCAGAAAGCAAACGCTTAATGGGTATGGATTTTCTTTTTGGGGTGATGAAAATGTTTTGAGGTGGCGGTTAAACATTACAAATGTATTAACAGCCACTGAATTCTTCACTTTGAAATGGTTAATTTTGTAAATTTCACTTCAATAAAAAAGAAAATCCTTAGAGTACAAATGGCCACCCAACTCCAAGGTTCCACAAAATTGAATAACAGCTGTGAAAGTAAAAGTATAGCCAATTTTCACCTATCTCTGATAATGGAAGATGGAAGAGTCACAGTCCCAAATGGCATATTTTAGAATAATCACTCTTTCTTTACCAAGTTTATATTTATTAAAATTAAATGATCCTATACTATAATGGTACAAAATGCCATGCTGAAGATTTTAAAATAGTATCAAAAATACTAAGTAAAAAAAAAAAGTGAAGTTCATTTTGTAAAATCTCACTTGGAGGCTCACTCTTGCACACTTTGAATATAAACTATGTTTGAGTATAAACCAACACTGCGATATCCATACCAAGGTGTCAGGAAATACAGAAAATAGAGTCATGGTCCAAGGCTGCTGGGCTAACATTAAAGGACTGTCCTTCTCACCTTTGCCAATCCAGAGAGGAGCTCCAGAGCTGCCAGTGATATGCTCATGTCTGGTCTCCACTGGGAGTTAAGTCTTTGGGTGACGAGATGAATGCTGCGAATCAGTAGCCCCGCAGCTGAATCTGTATTAAGAGCTAGGATATAACCCCAATGCCACATCCCACAGGGAGGGAAAACAACTAAGCATTAGTAACGAGAAGCACAGCATTCCACCAGGCACAGACCACAGCAGCCACAGTGAGCACGACGGGCACCCACACAGTGCTATGCTCCCCGCCCCACTGGCCTGAGCATCAAGCCTGACTGAAAAACAGTGCACAGGGCACACACACTGGACAAGAGCAGCTTCTAGTTCCCAGCTCGGGTACTTTCATATAGACATCCACTGGGATTTAGTAATTTCAATATCATTCTTATAACAATATAAAATTTTAAATTTCTACATTACCTCATAGAGTTACGTTTTCAAAACCCCGCCCCACTGGCCTGAGCATCAAGCCTGACTGAAAAACAGTGCACAGGGCACACACACTGGACAAGAGCAGCTTCTAGTTCCCAGCTCGGGTACTTTCATATAGACATCCACTGGGATTTAGTAATTTCAATATCATTCTTATAACAATATAAAATTTTAAATTTCTACATTAACTCACAGAGTTACGTTTTCAAAAAAAAAAACAATGAAAGGCTATCAATTATTTCCTTGGAATTTTATATAGAGGGAAAAATTCAAATCTCAGAATCTTCTCAGATGCTGGGGAATTATCCTAAAGCATATACTAAAATTATTTTCAGGGGTTAAACCATCAAAAATCACATGCATTGCTTTTTAAACACATTGTAACATTTAACTCTTCAAGACTACTTTGATACTTCTAAAAAAATTAAATAACCAAGTGATTGTGTTTTTATTTGGCCTCCAATTCTATATTTAAAAGCAACTACTACTTGGCTGATAATAAATAAGGACAAATTAAATTAAATTGATAAAGGAAGCTTTAGGGACATTATACCTGTCGATCCTATCAGAAAGTGGGCAGTGACAACAGAAAAAGGAATGATCATTAAAGAGACACATTCATGCGACACTAACACAAATCTGGATTTCTTAGTAAAAAATATTTTACAACATTACAAGCAGACCTCACTAACACCAGTTCAAAATGCTGAAACAAACAATAACCACTTCAAACACTTAAATTAGAACACATACAATGCAAAAATTTCTTTAGTGTAAGTGTTTTAGAAAGCATGAAAAATAAACAAATTTTTGCCTATAATATACTTAAACCCATGAACATAATGAGTAAGACAACAATTTAAATAAATGTAGTATTTAAATGTGTTTACTATCTACATAATGCCTTATATCTGACATGCTTGAGGATGCTTATAATTAAAAAATTAAACTCACATCTAAGGATCTAAATTTCATTTCAATCTGGTTGGATTAACACTTACAGATTCAATACACTATTATTTGTGTATAAAAACACCACTGAATAGGATGTTCTTCTGGCAACTGTTTCCTTACGCTTACTTAAAATTTGTGACTGAGAAATCTAACCAGATATATAGTAAGGTATATAGGTTTTAAGCACAAAGAGAGATTTTCCTCTGGATTCCCATCTCATGCATTTCCCACCACTCATCCTTACCACACTGCAATAACTGATGTACTGGCTGACTCTGCCACATCCTATTTGACTCTATGTTACCAGCATCTGGTACAGAATTCAGAAATGTTTCCTGACCACCCATTATAATCATTTATAAAATCTAAAACTACCCAGAATCTAACTACTAAAAGTTATAGAGTTAAATTTATAAGATTTATTTGCATTTTCTTACTCTTTACACTAATAGCCTCTCTATTACTCTTAAATACATAAAAAAGTATGACCATAAAAATGTTTTGCTAATTTGTTTTATATACCTAGACATTAAAAGTTATTCTATAAACTTTGGATTTCAAAAAAACAAACATGGCTTACCATAATCTCTTAGGAGAGCTTGAGCAGGTCTTTCACTATCAGGAGTTGTGGGCTCTGTGCTTCCACCACTTGCTGAACTAATACCACTGTTAGTGCGACTATGACTCTTCAGGTTATTTTCTCCACCACCCTAGTCAAATAAAAATGAATCAAATATTTTAGGGCTATAGCCATAGTTTACCAATATAAATAGAGGTCAATCATTAAAAGCCATACTGATAAAATGAAATGTGCCAACTAAATAGCACAAAATGATACACAGATAAAAAAGTGACAAGGGATTAAAACTGCTGTAGTGTTTTTGCATAGACACTATCTACTGAAAGTTTATGAAGAGTCTGACGATTACAGGTGCCTATTCTGGGGTCTTCTTTGGTGATATTTACAAAGGGCCAGCCAAGGACCTTTTTCATCTTCACTAGCTAATGACTCCGCATCCTTCAAGAAATACCCTAAGTGCCTCCCAAGCAAAACTTCAGAACAGGAATACAATCTTAAAAAAAACAAAACACAAACAGTAACTCTCAAATGTAGTTATACCACAAAATACAAAAAAATATACATATAATATGGTTAGTTTAAAGATTAACTCCTATATGTTTAGGAGCTAACAAACGTATCAAAGATTTCCCTCATTTTTTCCTATGTAAACACAATCCATTATATCCAGATCAGTTTTTATTATTAGCCACCTAATGTGACATGAATATAATTTCCTTAATAATAATTTGATCACCCATCCTACATCCACCATTCTAGTGTATTCCATTAATTTATCCACTCCACTGCCTCTACTCCAGGTATAGGAATCACGTATCTTGGAGACAGAAGCAGGGGACACGGGGAGTCTCTGGAAAACTTTTTAAAGTTAGGAGCATTGGTGCTCTGGGGAACCTTCAAACTTTGATCTATAGGGCCTTGCAAGAGCTGATGAGATGAAAAGGAGTCAACTAGATGCTTGCTAACAGCTAGCACTATATCTACTAGGGATAGAAGAAATTATGGAGTAGGGGTTTTTTTCTAGATTATTCAAGCCAATTCAACAGCACAGCAAAAGAAGTAAGAGCTTTAAGCAATAAAGACTGGGTTTGCTGGAATTTCTCTCATGCAGTATCTCTCAGGAACCTGATGTATAGTTGATGAGGTACTAAAAGGTAAGAAGCCTCAAAATATCTGATATTTCAAAATAGAATCCTTCTGCATCAATAAGCTGAATTTACAAACAAATGTCTTTAAAAATCACGAGGACGATATTTTAGAATGAAATTTAATCAGAAGTTGATAGTTTCTGACAGATTACATGTGGTAATCTTACCATTTCCATTTGGCAACCAATGGCTTCTAAAAGTGCTGAATCTTGAACAATATTTAGCATTGCTCCTGCAACAGCAAAAAAAAAAAAAAAGCATTTTATTTAAATACATGACAAGAATACTAAAATGGCTAAAATAACTCAATTAATAGCAGAAACATGATTTTTAATAGAGCATTCCTGAAATTTCCATAAAATTACCAATAAATCTGTTGACTAGTCAGAAAAGATACTCCATTAAAATGCCCTAATTCTTATCTGCCCCCAAAGTTTTAAAACCACATTTTTCTAAAATAAATTTGAAGGTCAAACTTGCTTTATATAAAAATGACCATTACCAGATATTTTTTAATGAAAGACCAACCATTAACATCTCAATTTCAGGGCTTGCCTATGGCTACATAAGCTGAAGGCAAGGTGCCTTCAAAATATAATGTATTTATCATCAAGGAACTCATAGCCCTAGAAAGGCTAGGACAGAAACAAGATGGCGAGCCTAGCATACTGCTTTCTTATGCCAGTGGGAGAGTACTCTTGTCCACAAAGGATAAAGACAGAACAGACACAGCTTTGCCAATCTAAGGCAAGAATGCTAATTGATTCTTCCTTGGAATGTATAAGGGAGCTCTTCAGAACAAGGGGAAAGCAAAACTAAACACTCTTATCAACCACAGAAATTATCTGATTTCAAGTGATATGTTATTTGAATAACTTAAAACACTACAAGTTAAAGGCTCTCTCAGATTGAGATTTAACCTTTGTTCCTTCAACTCCTTTCCAAAAATGAAAGGATTTACTCTTCTCTACTTATCTCACCTTCACACTATATAACATACTATCCTTCCTGAGCACTAACTCCAACCACTACTACCATCATTTCTGTCTATTCAAATTCTGCCCTATAAAATCCAATTTAACTTCTACTTCCCCCTATGAAGTATTCCTTGATCTTTTGGTTTCTTCTCTTTCAATACTAAGGACATGCTGATGTCCTTATGACATGCAATCAGTACTGCCTTCTACTATTATCTGACTACTTTGTGAGGGTATTCCAACCTCTGCAGTGAGACTTGCTGAAGGGCAAAAGCCACACTATTCACTTCTTTAGTATCCCACTCCCTACAGAGTACCTATACCTAAGACCATGCCATTGGCTTGTTTAGATGAATGCCAGAAAGCACAGTAAGGAAGAGTTGCAGTGATCAAGTTGAGAGTAATGAGGGCTTAAAATATGCCAGTGGCCATAATGATGAGGAGCCATTTAAGAGGCAATCAATATGATTAGGAGACAGTAGGAAACAATAAGGAAAAAGGGAGGAAGCACAGCTACTCTTCATGTTCCTCCTGGCAGAGTTCTGACACAGCTTCCAGAATTACACCCACCTCAAAATACTTTCATATGCAGGCAATGGGCAAGAGGAAGAGGCAGAAGGGGGAGGAAAGGAAACAGAAGAAAGGGGAGGGAAAGAGAAGAGGGTAGGGGTCAGGACAAGAGGGAAAGAGAAAAAGAAAGAACACAGATGAAACTAAGCAAAAATGACTTACCAAGACAACTGAATGCTCTTCTCACCTCATCTCACTCCTTTACATTTTTTCACATATAAAAGCAAACAAATTCTGCTTCTGATTCAGAATAAGTAGAGCTATATTAGACTTAGCCTCCCATCACCAACCACTGCCTCCTCAGCATGTCTGGGTCAAAATTATCTGGTTTTTCACTTACAAAAACAATGTATGAACACAAACCTAATATCATTTGAGTGTTGTTGGGATCTGTTTCCGTTTGCAAGGCACCTATTAGTATATTCACAAGTCTCAACTTCAGGGACAAAAAAGTTATTGGTTTATCATAAGAAGAGCTGTCATCATTACTAAACTTTCCTTCCAGAACCACCTATGGAAGAAACAAATAATATTTAACATTGATTGCTGTGGTACACTATGCCTATGTAGAAACTGATACAGTGGACAAAGAGCAGATCAGTCTAACAAGCAAGGCTTTTAATCTGACTAATATTAGCCACTGTGCTAGGTCTGTTGCTAACTCAACAGCATACTATGTTATCAGATGTCACCAACCTATCACCACTTGAAATGGTAGGTGAGGCATACTCGCTAACAGAAGAAATTTCCCCAACAAATCAACTTTGTTGATTCACTAAAATACTTTTTTAAATGTTTTTAAAAGCTCCTGTTCCATTTTTAAAAGATAATTTGACTTGAATTTGCACAAAAAACAGAACATAGAATATTAAAAAAATTTAATAAAACATTACCTCAGATTTGACTGTGCCAAAGTGATGAGGGAGGGGCAACAAAGAAAGCAGGATATTAATGGAAGATCTTCTTAATTCTGTTGGATTTACATAGTTTTTGAATTTGGAGAGTTCTCTGCCAAAAAAAAAAAAATTGCTATTATTTCCAAACTAAAGTATGTTTTTAGCTATTACCAAATATACATTATGCCAATTTTTCACAATACAAGCACTGGGTTTGGTTTCATAAAGACTGCAGTACCTACTTTCCACTGAGTTTATATTCTATAATGTGTGTGTATGTGTGTGTGTCTATGTTAAACTGCTGTTATGGAATTAAACTAGAATCTGATTGACTGATTTTAAATGTAAGGCCTACACTACAAAATTTAGGACTTCTAAGCCGGGGTTGCTCTTACGCCTCCAAACCAGGCCACAAAAGATTAAACATGCCCATGGACAAATCAGAACTGAAGGAGTTCAGGGATGAGGTGGGTCTGAATATTCTACACTCATTTGATGTGGCCTGAGTCTCCTTGGGCAATGAAGACAACTGAACATGATAAACTAGGAAACTGGGGAGGAACCACCAAAACAGACCAGGCCAAACCCAACAAATGATATGCTAATATAGAATGACAACTTACCTGTCAGGCAAAATGGTTTCAAGAGCTGAAATAAAGTAAGGAACCACAACATCAATCCCTTTCAAGTCACAGCAGAACAAAGGAGGGGAGTTTAGAATAACGCTGGCCAAGACAGGATGGCACACATAATCATTTATCTGCAAACCTTGAATTAAAAGCATGTAAAATCTAGGAAAGCAAGAAAAAAATTTTAAACAAACTGCTGGTCAGTTGTTTCCATAATTATTAATATTTTCTACAAACTCACCAGAAAGTCTTTTTGCACTCTTCACTACTTCTAACCTTTAAAGGTATTACTGAAGTTAGAACAATTCTGAATCAAAAACACTAAGAACCAAAATTATCTTTCCTAATGAAAAAAATATTCATGTTTATTATACCTTTTTGAAGCCTTACAACTCAAATTTACAGGTGCCTACAAATAAAGCAACCAAAACAAAGCAAATGGCTGCAGTAATTATCAATAAACTGGAGGAATTACTGTATTGAAAAATGTGCCTTTTTCTCTGTGACCCATAATTTTGGAAAAGACAAAGAAAGAAACCTCATTCAACCCTGCATTCATCATGATGTTATATAAGACTCCGTATAGGAATATACCTAAAGTGTACCTTACATTGAGTATACCTTACTTTTAACCTGCTCCTCTAACCTGCAATCAACTAAGCATTCAATCTTCCATCATTCAAGACCAACTCTACTGGTATACTCTTCTACTACTATAAGGCACTTTTCCTCTCTGCAAAACTCTTCCGAAACAGCTTCCCCACCTCCTGGTCATTGCTCAACACATTTCAATCCATCTTTTCTCCCTAGAACCAAACTAAAACTATATTAGCAAATAAACAAAGGCCATTTCATTGCTAAAACCAGAAGACATGCCTAAGTCTTAACTGACTCTGCCTTTTTAAAGCACTCAAACCTCTGATTACTCCCTTCTTCTCTCCTTATTCTTCTGACCTCTGTGGTTATTTCCTTTTAATAAATCCTCTTACTCCGCCTGCCTTCTAGTAATGGTGTTCCTCAGGCTGCCAACCTTAGATAATTTTCTAAGCTGTCTCTTCCACTAGCCTGGTTTTAAACACTACTTAAGCCACTGAATATAATCAACTCAGTCTCTACCCCATACCTCTCACCTGAGCTCCAGATCTATTAGCCAAAAGTATACTGGATACCTGAGGGCAAGACATGTCTATTGATGTACTCCAGTAATCCTTGTGCAGTGTATGGCATAAATACTTGTTGATAAATACCCCAAAGACACTTCAAGATCAAAACTAAGCTCATCATTGGCCCCCTCACAAATATGCTTTTTTGGTTGGTCCTATCCAGTCTTATGGACCAGACAGAAAGCCCATGGTCATAACCTTCATCCTTCCTGCTGCTGCTACCATTTGTGGTATCTCCCTAACCAATATTCTCCCTCCTGAGAAATGTACTCCCTCCCACGCAAGGGGTGCCAGCATTCCATGTGACCCACTCTTACAGCTATAGATGACTAAACCAGAGGTAGACACCTGATTAATCAGATTCTCTTTCTCAGGAATTTGAAATTAGGATTTAGAGATGCTAACTGGCCCTGCTGGTCACCTAGACAAAGGCCATGAAACTGAGAACTTAGAATACTGCAATATAAGAAAATGATCTGCAAAGAACAATGAAGCAGTTCTTGAAGACCATGAAGACAGAAAATTCAGAAAGGAGGAAAACCCATTCTGGTCCTTGAACACTTTCTAGATGCTGGTTCCTGCCCATCATGAGGCCCTGCTGCATATCCTGACCTTCGAATGTATTAAATGGTACTAGTTTATCATAAATGATTTTCCTTTTGCTTAAGTCATATTGAGAGCCTATTAAGATACTCCTAAAACTAAGAGCCTATTAAGATACTCCTGATTAGTAACGTGAAGGTACCATTCTGTTTCATATCTATATGCTTTGTTCCCTCTGATAGTACGTTTAAACCTCTCTCCTGAGAACCTAGCAGATACACAGACACCTGAATGCTCTTGTTGATATTAATATAACTTCAGCAGATGTGCGAATGATTAGTTGAGATGGGCAACAAAAATAGGCCATTTCAAGTTAATTTCATAAAAATGTAAAAGACCTAAAGGGTCATGGCTGGGACAAAGTAGAGAGATTAGAAAGAGCATTAAGTAGCAGAAAGTCAGGAGTTGGTTGACCAACTAAAGATGGACCTGAAGAGAAGTGGAGACTAAAATGACTCCTAGTTTCTGGCATGAGCAACTAACTGAATGGATGGCAGAGGCATTCACGAAAATTGGTTGAAGTCATAAATCTGGATAAGATGACCCTACCCAACTTGCTTATACTACCCATCTTTTTGAAGACCCAGCACAATCATTCAATCCTATGTAACTCTTTCCTGAACCCCCAGGGTAAGTGTACGCTGCTTCTTCCTCTGAATGGTGACAGCACTTTGTGCTTTTCTCCTACCAACTTCCTATTACTACTGGATCATTGTAACTTGTGTACATGGCTTTGCTCACTCGAGAAAATAAGCTCCTTAAAGGCAGGATCTACAGTTAACATTTGTGAACCATCTACAGTGTCTAATACTGTGCTAAAAATTAATTTAAAAATTAGTATAATCCTTCCAAATCTCTCCAAAATTATAAGTCAAATAAAATAGAATAATAGTTCTAAAATTAAAAGGATCTTAAGGGTCTTTACCAAATCTAATAAGGCAAGTAAAATGGAAGAATTCAAGCAAAAATTTTGATTACTTACTGACATTTTCAGGTATTTCAAACCAACATTTACTTATCAATTCAGCCTACCAAGGCTTGTTACAATATAGTTTCACTACCCAAACTACATAAATGGAAAAATAAAAAAATTCTAAGACCTGGATAAATAAGCTGGCAGAATCTCTTCTCCAGTCTTCTTGCTACAAAAAATCCTACACAGTGTCCCACAAGCCTCAGCTCTTCCTGCTTCATAGTTATCAGGAAATTCACTTGCATCAAACATGGGATTGGAAACCATGGTGTCTGTAGACATTTGTGACCCCTTCCGTCGAAACTCCATGCTAGCTTGTGTTGTAATGGCTGGGGAGAGAAAAGGAGGGTTTTATTATATTTGTCAATATGCAAATAGGCTCATGGGACCCTGGACACAAAGATCAAATGTTGGTGTCATTAAATAGCTACTTGAATAAAATCCAATAATTCTTTCGTTTAGCAACTATGTCTTAATTTTTTTAAGGGCTCTCTGTAATCTTCTTGGAAAATGGGTAACAATTAATCTATAGTGGTATTGTCAGTTTAACAAATTCTACTAGAAGTATTTTCCAACTGAATTTTCAATCATCAGAGTACATTTGTATATATCTGTACTCATATACAGATATATAATACAAAATTTGGCTTTTCTATTATTTATTCTGTTTTTAACTTCCCCTATAGAAAGATGCTTAAACATTAAGACAAATAGCTACTGCAATTTCCACATTACCCCAGACAAACATCATTATTGAATGGGCAATCCCATGCCAGTCTGTATATTTTAGGGAGAGGGCAAAGTAAGGATGAGTAATGGGTAGGAAGAAAGAGCATTCCCACCACCCACCCAACTCCAAAACACACACCAAAGAATCGCCCAACCAAGCAAAATGAGAATGAATTTTAAAAACCATAGACAGCAGCTAACTGGAGGTTGATAGATCAGAAAATTGGATTGATAAGAAAGATTATCTATCATGGTCATTCATTGTCACTGAAACAGAAGCCCTTCGAAAGTTGCTTTTATTTTTAATAAAAGATTTCACAGTGTATTGAAAACCACTCTGAAATCTTTTATCACTCTACATGAAATGTTTAAATTATTTTGTAATATTTTTAATAGAATGCAGAGTCAAGTATAAATCTTTATGCAACTTCCCATGAGCCATTTTTAGTCCTGAATAAGCTATCCAGCAATAATACATTTAAAAAACACTACATGCAAAATGCATACAAATCAAACATTAAATCTGTATAAAAGTAAGCTTAAAGCTTAAAAACAAACAAAAAAAGCCAAAACACAGTTAGTGCAAAATCCTGGAATTCATGACATGACCAGACTAGTATACAGAAATAATGGGACTGATTCAGGCAGATTAATTTGCTTTTGCCAACAATCTTCCCCATTCAAAACACAGAAAAGTATTTTTCTTCCCAAGTGCAAAAACTACAAGAGACAATGACAATCAAATTTTTTAATGGAATTATGAAAAAAATAAAAACATGACTGCAATTAAGGAGAAGCTTCTGGTTCCTACTTACAAGATTTATAAGAAAGAAGAATTTGGATAAAAGATGCTGCAAGATAATAGAAATAAATGGAAACAAATCAAAGGACAGCAGTAATTATAAAATACTTTAAAGATGGTGAAATCTTACAGTAAGTTAAGAAGCTTTTTAGCTTTTTAAAAATTAGATTAAAAGCGTTATGATACCACAAGCTAATTCAAAAACATAGGAAATTGTGCATTCAGATCCAAAAATATAATTTTTGTATCATGCAAAAGAAATGAACAAAGAAAATTACACAACTACAAAAGAATTGAGGTTTTGAACTGCCTATAACGTGCATTAAATTTTTAGTTCATTAACCCTTCCCAGCTCAATGTTACTTTTTACAAAGCACAGTGTACTGTCAAGTAAATCTAAAGCTAACCAGTTCATAGAAGCAAACATTTTAAGTTACAGGTGAACTGGATGGCAGAATTCCTTGATGACAGCCAGTATTTAGAAAACAGCCTAACAGTGTTAGTATTTCCAAACTTCCCACCACCCCTGGGACCTCAAAAGTGGCACCCAACAGCACCCTAACGCACTCAATTATCTGGACACTTCCAGTCTCCTGGGTAATGGAACAGCCTTTCTCATCTCTGAACACAATCAGGGAAGAGAAGTTTCTATCCTTTCCCCACCAAGGAAAATGGTAAGAGTTAAAAGTAAGAATTTGTTGCCCACATATGATTTGAATTCTGACTTCTATCTTTTGGAACAAGAGGGTGAGCAAAGCTGTTACAAAATCCCTAGAGAGCAGGAAGATCTGTAAATTCCCTTTAAGCAAGCCCACCAAGGAGGCAGCAGCTTAAACCACTCTGGATTCAGGGATTTTAGTGTCAACAGCTTGATATCCAAAAGTTACACTGTAAAAATTGCATCTTAATAAAAGTAAAAATATGTCTGACTCATTCTAGAATATATAAATATAAACATAATTCAGAAAACTAAAAATATAAACACATGAACGTAAGAAAACATAAGCCAAAAATGGTTTTTAAGTTTTCATTTAGTCATCATAAGTACATTTACTTATCCATAAATAAACACCACTTTTAAACTTGTAAATAAAAGATAATATGAAAATGGTTGGATACAAAGTGTTTAAATTTGAACAAAATAAATAAAGGAATCCCTAAACTCAACCATGCAATCTCAAATTATATTCCTGAAAATGTCTTTATAGTCACAACTTTTCTAAATTATATAGAAGATCTGTAAGAATATCCAAAATAATTATACATATATAATGCTAACAGACACAGACCTTAGTTCTGAAATGATACAAATAGGCAAAAATGCATTTGTGAAAGAAAGCAGAGATCCTTGTGGACGCTAGTTTTATCTTTGGAACTAACATTCTCCCTAGAGAGGCATAAACTAATGCAATTAAGCCTCCTTTTTCATCAAGCTATTTCCAACACCAGTGGAAAAGTGCTTTCTTACCAAACAACCAATACACTCACTAATGCAGATAGCACAGTGCCTGGCACAGAGTAATTCAGCTCAATAAATGATAGCCATTATTATTATTCAGCTCTATAAGATATGTCATAAATAGTCCTCCCTCAGTACATTCTGCACTACCCTACATCTCATCCTGCACCCTATGCAATTACTTCCAAATATAATGGTAAGATGACAAAAATAAATCAGATTTTATTTAGATGGTGTTTCTATAATAAAACCTAAGTAAAGCTATCAGGGTTGAGTTACTGTCCACCAGTCTTTTTTAGTTTCAGAACAAATGGTATTTTTGAAAGTGTACACTAGAAATAAATTTCTCTATACTAAAACCTGAGAAGTTAGAGTCTTGTGAAGCAGAAGTTTTCTGATATTTATATGTACTAATGAGTGAATGGTTGTCAAAATCTAAGAAAACACTTCTGAATAAATTTCTGGTTAAAATATTTAATTCTTGATATCAATATTATTATCCTGGCTGACATGAAGGGAACTTCCAGGTCACCTACTACAAGAAATTTGATTTAACAACAAAAATGGCTAACATGAAGTGTGTCTAATAAAACCAGAAAAAGCCAAACCTCACAAAACAAACATAAAAAGGACAGGTAGCAAAACTTCCAAAATTGTTCAGCTGGAAGGGGTTAAAAACAAGACACTGCTTTGTCAGAGACAGAGAGCTTTTTAAGATACATATTAATCTTGCAGGTAGGAAAGATTAAAAAGAAAAGAAAGAAAAGAAAAAATGATAACGTATTTCTTGAGCAATATTTACCAGTCATGCTGCTGTCTCTGTTAATCCCATTATGAAGTTTACAGTGAACAAATGCTGCATCAAATAACCATGATCCAAAGAGATTCAAGATGCTGTTAACCTTTGGTCTCCGAGGGGCAGGCAGTGGCCGGGGTTCTGAACTAGTCTGATTTGGACTTGACAGAGGAGAAGTGGAGGATGTCTGGTGCTGAACTTTCGAGGCATGAGCAGTACTAACCTATTAGAAGGACACAAAAATATATGCACACTCATGAAAAGTTTGAAAAAATAACAGGACTTTTAAAAAAGGACAGCAGATCAAAAAGTCAACATTATACAGCATAATAATGGTGATGAAAACTTACTGTGCTTGTCTTCATGGTGGCCTTATTCACAGTAACAGCCCGATGCCTTCGATTATGTGGTGGGGTGGTACTGACAGCAGTGCTTTGAGGCATACTTAATCTATTCACGGGTGTTGGAGGAGCACTATCTGATCGGGGTCTAGAAATGCCTTTAAGAAAAGACAAATGGAGTTATTCTTCATAGTTCAAAATATGTGGTCAGAAAATCTTCCTCAAGCAACACCAGTGAATGTTTAGTACAGACTACAGCAGGGACTGCTAGTATCCTCCGAATACCCATTTGCCCTCTCTTCCTGAGTTATAGAACACAAATTTTAGCTCAGCCTGGCTCCACAGAATCAACAACTACATTTTCAAGCCTCCCTTACAGCTAGATGTGGCCATGTTCTGACCACAGAAAAGTGGGTGATGTTGGGAATCTCCTTAAAAGGACCAATCAAGTGTAGGCTCTCCTTCCTTCGTAATTCCTGAAGAGGATAGTTGGAACTAACTCATTCAATCATCATGGCCCATGAGAGAGTGCAGAAGGGATAGAGAGCCAAGCCACAAGATGCACGTGCCTGACAACGGTAGAACTGCTATAGCAGCCCTGTACTGCCTAGCCCTGGGTTTAACACATGTGTAAGTAAACTATCTTGTTTCAAACACTGGTATTTTTAGTTGTTATATGACAGTCAAACTTAATTTGACCTAATACAGGGATGGGCAAATGTAGGTTTACAGTTGTGAGTACACAAAACACAGAATGTATTCTTATACTATTTATTAACTATTGTATTATTTATATTACAACTATAAACCTACTTTTGCCCACCCTGTATATTATGTATGTATTATAGTAACAAGTACACATAACAAATGCTTTAGAAAGTGATATATTAAAATATCATTGACTTTCAACAGGTAAAAACAATTCTGACTTTTCATAGTCCTAAAATGTGAAAAGCAGTTCAAAATAGTTCATAAAAGGTATAACTTGCCTCCTAATGATAAACATAAGAAGATACATAATACATTTGAATCTGTATTTTCCTGAATTACTAGTAAGAATGAACAGTTTTCTTTTGCAAATCTTTTAATCATATCCTTTGTCTATTTATTTACCAGGTCTTATTCTTTTTCTTAGCACTGTCTGGTCTATTCATATAAAGACAACAAAAACCGTCTATATTTGTTCCAAATAAATTTTCCTAGTTTGTTATTTATAATCAAATCCATTCATCCTTTTCTTGGGCTTTCATAATAGTACCTAAAACTAGACTCTAAAATAAATAAATAAGTAAATAAGTAAATCAATAAAACTAGACTCTAGAGTTATCTACATGTAGCTCTTCAAACATCTAGCAACATACACAAAATTCACCTAGGAATGCATCCACCAGACAGCTGATCCCACGCATGGCACGAAAAAATATTTGAGGCAGATGTTTAAGGCAGGGATACTGATTCAATTCTTGTGGCATTCCGCTCACATTCAGGAACTGTTCCTGAAATTTGGGAGTAGAGCTTATAATGGCTGGGTTACTCAAATCCACAGGATTACTATCAAAAGAGAGAGAAAAATTAATTAAACATTTAAAAGATTCTTTAGCAATAAACTGCATGCAATCTATTTTAAGAACAGGGCTGTTTGTCCCTATTTAATTCAGAGAGGAGGCTTATCTGTATTTAACCAGTTAACTGCCACTCGTCCAAAACAGAAACCATCCCCATTTTTCCATATGTGCTGGAATATTTACGAATTTAAGTTACCATAATTTTCTTTACAAACCTAGAGATGTCACCAACAAGTCTGATTTTAAAATTGGGCGACCAGAGTTGATATGGGAGGTTTGCGGCTATAGACGCGCATGGTGTGTGGGGAAGGTCCGCTGCTTGCGTCTACAGACGCTTATGGCATACAAAGGGTTAATAGGCTAGGGACTCAAACATCAGCACTTCTTTACAGAAGACCTGCAGTATGTTTACATGAACTCGCTCTGCCTATTCAAAGAATGAGAATCCAATGAGACTAGAAATTTTTAAGAGTATACATGGATATTTTTCTAATATGTTTGGAATTAAGCAATGGAATAAAAATTGTAAATAAATCAATAACTCCAAGAAAAAAATTTTACTTTAATACTAACATATTCAGTTATTTTAAAATTTGGATTGTTTGTATTCATGTGTATGTACTAAAGCCATATATTTCAAAACAACATATATTTTATGTGTAAATAATTTTAAATATTTCCACTAAAAAATAGATTTAGATTTCTACTCAAAATGGGCTACGTAGCTATCCATTAAATGGCCTCGTCAACTCAAAGTGATATTGTTTAAACCTACAGGCAGTACCTGGAAAGAATTTCCACTAACTATGAGGTCAAAAGAACTAGGCTGAGAAATACAAAACAATGGTTTATAACTGCTCTGCCCTTTGAAACCTCTTTTTCTACCCACTCAGACTCTTCTTAATTGCAAGTGGGAATAAGGGGCCATATATATGGGCTTCTAGTGTTAGTAGATTGTATCCATAGAACTACAATTCATCATGTGGGATAGAGGGGATAAGTCTAGTAGCAGTACCAGAAAGCTTATACCAGCTTCTCCACATGTAAATCTGAAATGATTTTACTGGTACACAAATTATTAGAGCACAGAGTAAAAAAAAATTGAAATGAGAATGGGTAACTGCATTCCTACAGCTCCCAATGCTCTGTATATCTGACAAAAGTAGAGAGCCTGTTAAAAATCCAAATTCTACCTAGATTTACTGAAACAGAACCTCCACATTGAAATAAATTAATATAAATTAATATATCACATCAACAGGTAAAAAAGAAAAAACTTTTAATCATTTAAAATAAATCCCAAAATATGATTTGAATAAAATTCAGTACTCTTCCTGATTTCATTTACATTTTTAAATTTTAAATTTTTTGAATGCTTAGGAAACCAGGAACTTAAAAAACAAACAAAAACTAGTATCAACTAACATTCCACTCAAAATTTCATGTAGTAGAGACATTCCAATGAAAATCAGAACACAGAAAACACTTCTAATCTTAAATAAACACAAAATTACAGAAAAATAGATTAAGAATATAAACTGAAAGATGAAAAACAAATTGGAAAAAAAATAGACAGAAAATGGTTAACATTCTTAATTTATAAAAAGGTCATACAGAATAAATTAGAATCACTAGTACACAAATAGAAAAATAAGGCTAGTCAAACCAGAAAGAAAAGATATGCAAGGAAAATGTTTAAGAATCAAGACAGTACACAACAGAACAAAAGTTCCATAGAGCACAAAGATAGGGCTAGTAGAGAGAAAGGTAGGAAGCAATGAAGCTGAATTGAATAGAATTACCAGAAAGAAATAGCAGAAAGTAGCAATTTATTCCTCTGAAATTTTATAGTATCCCTCAGCAAAATTTTAAACAAGGTTACTAGAGGAAAGGCTCTGAGAACTATATTGACGGTCAGTGCAGGTCACAGAGAGGAGCAAGGTAGTTAGTCTCCAGGCCGCACAAAATGTGACAAATTCCTGTGACGGTCAGTGCAGGTCACAGAGAGGAGCAAGGTAGTCTCCAGGCCCCACAAAATGTGACAAATTCCTAGAAAAATATCATCTAGGCTGTAGCAACAGGCAAGAGAACAAAATGCTGCAAATACCACAGGAAACATGCTCCTAGAGAGTACAGACCAAGAGCAGCTGAGCATACCCTGACCCTATGGAACAGGGAGAGCAGAAGGCACATGATGTAGATGGGTGTGCTGTCCACTTTGGGTCCACCTGACACTCTGAAATCCATTAAGAAAGTTATAGCATGGTTTCTGCCCTAGACACTTACTGGGTAAAGAGCACATGAAAACTAAATTAACAATACCTTAACATATGTAAAAAGCGAAACCATGTCTGTGCAACACACTCGTTATCCATTTCAGGAGGGATCAGACTGGCATCTTCATCAGGAACTTTAAATGGAGGAAATGAAGGACCATATGTAAAGCGTAGCAATCTAGAAAAAAAAGAAAAGCACACCACTAAGTTCATTTCTTAACTAGAATGAATAATACATTCAAGCATTAAAATACGAGAGAAAATAGATGAAACATGTATTTATACCTCACTGAAGTGAGTAAGATAAATAAGACCCTTGTTTATAAAACAAATTAGAAGCAAATTTCTAGTTTTGTTTTTTAAATCTTCACCTGAGGATATTTTTTTCCATTGATTTTTAGAGAGAGTGGAAGAAGTGAGGAGGTGGGGGGGAGAGAGACAGAGAAACATCAATGTGAGAGAGATACATCAATTGGCTGCCTCCCGCACATCAGGGGCCAGGGATCAAACCTGCAACAGAGGTACCTGCCCTTGACCGGGAATTGAACCCGCAACCCTTCAGTGTGCAGGCTGACGCTCTAACCACTGAGTCAAACCAGCCAGGGCCAAATTTCTAGTTTATAAAAGGATTTTAAAACATTTATTCACTTGTTTATAATAAATTATTATTTATAATAGCTATATTTATATTTTACTATATTTTATAAATTATAACTTA